AGCCTTTCTTGCTTGTTTAGTAAAGTCTCGCTTTTTGATAGGAGTAGGTGCTTGCTAGGGCAGGGCACTTTTCATTCTTCATTCGAAACTAACAAGTGTCGGGTCGGGGATTTCTGCCTTGTTATCAAAAAGGGAGTTGGGTAAAGCAAACTCTCTCCTTGGAGGAGCACGGGCTTAGTCAAGTAGAACCGGGTTGCGCTGCTTGATGCTCCGATCGAAAACAAATCAGTGGGGCCATGCCGGTACGACTGAATATGCGTTAGAAAGGTCAATCCCTCCCCTACGACACCAAAAAAACCGGGCCGAACTTCTAAACCGCCCGCTTCCATAGAACAATATCGTGGCAACGTAGACCTAAGTGGTCATATTGGATCCTTGGGAACCATCACAAGTACGGCCGGCCTATATATATTTGAACGAAAATGCCGTGTCGTCCAGCGGAGCCTAGAAGAAGGTGACTCGCGCAGACAGCTGACTCCTTTTCAATAGAAAAGAATAGCCAAACCAACCCAGCTGGCTGGTCAATCTCAGAGATCTTATCGGCCGGCAAACCGGAGACGGACGACCACGGTCCCGGCCTTACCAGCACCGGAGGTGTACTAATCAATGAACCCACGAAACCAACTTTCTTTTATGACAAAATAAACCAAGCCTAAGCGGTCACGACATCTTGTTGATATTGATTGAGGAGTTTGATGGAGTTTAGCTGACTGAATCCATCCATAAACTTAGACCGCGGTAACCTTCGTAACCAAAGCGTCACGACAACATCCAAAGGTGACCTTTGGATTCTTAAGTAGGGGGGCAAGGAGGAGCACGTAGGAATGCCGACCACTACATAAGCCACTAGTGGCTGAGAGAAAGCGAGCAGCACCTTGTATAGGTTGGGCGGAGCTTAAAGAAGCAAGCCCCTATCAGAGAAAGCCATTGCGCGCTAGCCTAGCTAGCTAACGTTTTTCAGCTGGCTGTTATGTTAGTTGTAGCGCGCCTTCCCTCCTTCTCTCACTTTGGAAAGATTTTTCAGTATTTTCTTATGATGACCTGGTCGAGAGAGTACGATACATCGGTGTAAAAGATTTCCTTTTTTCTGTGAGCTTGGTTTACTTGACCGAAGGGTGCAGTAGAACCTGAAGGAGAGGAATAAATACCTGGTCTATAATTTTGACAAAAGGAGGACCGCTATTGGGAAATATCTTCCTCCTCTTGGTCGTCATCAAAGAAGTTGACGTCCGGGGCTTCCTCTTTCCCTTTAAAATAAAACCGGTGAAGTCCATCCTAAAGTTCAAAATCTACATCCAACACCAGAGGTTCCTGATGAGAACAAATTGTAAGGCGTTGAAAGAAACCCTTAAGAAAGATGTCCCTCGCTGCAAAACATATTTTCGCTAGATGGCAAGCCCCTCTTTGACTTTGATATAGAACACATAAAGGGGGAGAGTCACAGTCTCCCTTATTTCCTAACAATAAAATTCTTTTTTTGAAAGGCCAGTAACAATGCGATATTCCATAGATAAGCAAGAAACTGAAGCCTCTCTTTTTATTTATGATGTACCGGCTTGAATTCACTTTCACTTTAGGAAAGGATTTCTTTCTCCTCAAAGTAGGTGTTCGCTCCGCAGCACGAACAGGTCGAGATGCGACGTCGATCACATCGGGTGGGGCCATTCTCCCAGAGCAGAGCTTGAAGCAAGGGTCAGAACTTTAGGCGGGGGCCTCTGTCGATAGAGCTAAAGCAGTCATTCATTAATCCACCCTCGACATACTAAGGAAAACGGCTGATCCAACTACAGAACAAATACAGACATAAACATCAAAAATACCGCACAGAGCGCCCGCTCTAAAAAGCTGCCCTCCAGCATTCGTCCTTCAAACTACCCATCAATCATCCAACACAACCAACTATTCATAAAAGAGAAATGAATTAAAGAAATCAGTGAATGAAATAAGGCGATAAAAAAAAAAAAGAAAAGACCTAGGAACGAGCAAGGAGGATTGGTTTCCCCACCTTAAAGTACCGAGCATTTTAGGGGTCTAGCTCGCTGATATAAAAAAGCGGAAGATTCAATCCAGTCCCAAGCGTCCCTGGATTGAATCCTTAGTTAGAGAGAGGGGCTAAGCCTACGTAACGCTATGGGAACAGCCTTTTTTGTCCGCTTTCAGCTATGCTATATAGATGGGCTACCCTGTGAAATAAAACATCATATGTAAGTAAGTAGCATCTAGAATAGAATCCAGAGCAGCTAAGAAAAAAAATCGAGTAGCTTGCGGGCCGGTCGTCATTGCACACTAGCTGGTCAGTGGGGGTAAGAGAGTGTTCCGTTGGTGTTCTCAGTCTCAGTGCGACCTTGCTTGGTCAACAAGGGGATCAAAATGAGCGAGTTCTCGTCCCATACTCAAGTCTGACTTCGATCATCGTCTCCCGTCTGCGCAAGATGGATTTGGCTTCGGTGATTCACCATTTGAAAGACGAGAGAACACTATCGGCACAGAACCAACAAAGTCCGGTTCTGTTTCAACCGTAGGTATTAGTGAATGAATAAAGAAAGTAGGTATATGTGAATAAATTCATTAAGTCTTAATGCCAATGTCGGCCAATAGGCTTAAAAACAAAAATAAAATGGAAATGAATGTTGGAGTCTCCTTACTTCTCAGCCCTAAGCTAAGTCTTCCTCAATGACCGATCACTTTTCAGCATATTCCGGTAAAGCCTTAAAGGCAAGGAAAGCTTTCAAGCTAATAAGCTACTTAAGAAAGAAACTAAAGAAAGAAAAGAATTGAAAAGACAGAAAGGAAAGAGTACAAAGAGAGATACGGAAAGGTTGAAAAGCAGGGGATAGGACAGTAATAGGATGGCATTTCCCGTATGAATGGATTAGGTATAGGTGGAAGGAGATGAAAGCTGGCGCATAAGTAATGTAATGATGGCTAAGGGCTTTCTTTTTACCGGTTTGAAAGGAAGAGTGTGCCATGGTGAAATGCAAGACAGAACAGAAAGCAAGGAAGGTGAAACGGTGTTGGCAAAATCCAATACAGAATGTCCCGAGGGGGCATTGTTGAATGAATTGACTTCGGTTTGATTTCCTGAAACACAAGCGGATCGGAACAATAGAACTAATAATAGAATAAACAGAGAATAAAGAAAATATTTGAGAACTCGGGAAAGGAGAATAAGCCTCTCTAAGGGAAGAAGACCTAGCCCAGCTTTCTTTCCGAGCCATCAATAACTGCCGGCTTTCAACGGGTCCGGCTATCCTTTCACCGGTCGGTCAGTTATGGAAGACTCTGCTGGGTAGAAGCCCGAATATCATTAAGAATATCTTAACATTTTTTATTTCTGTGTGTTTTTTTTTAAATAATGGAAGGTAATATATGAATAAGAACAGATAGCATTCTGCTAGAGAGAGAGGGCGCTAGCCCGGGTACATAAGTATAAGGTCCACCAGTGCACACAATTATTCTGTTATTATCTCCTGCCCGTTTAACTACTCCTCGAGACATTTCTGCTGATGGGCCCTTGAATTATAGCAGGAGCAACCTCAATTGCCGTACCCAGGCGCCGGTCTCTAGAAGCTTCTGGAATGTTCAATTTGTATGGCCTCAGTGATGAGAATATTTTGTGTGCCACTTCTGATGATGCATGCATTGGGCACAAGTATATGTCAGTTCCGTAGATCAAGGCTTTCAAGGACTCCTGAGTTGGTGATTTGTCACCAGGCAGCACATTACACATTAGCAGATGGATGCTATAAATTCCTCCGAAAAATCATAAAATACTGTGCGGCCATACAATATACTCTAAATTCTCGTTGTCGAGGGAAGTGAATCAACAAATGCATGCAAGGAGGGATGTAATTCAGGAGGTGTAGTTCATCTAAACATTCATCTATAACAAGAACAATAGATGCAGACATTCTGGAATCAGAAACTGGAAAAAAACCAGGTCTCTTGTTTCCAGTTTTTTTTCTTAATCAACCATAGGTGATGACAGTTCTGGCAAATTTCAAGGAAGCATGGCTCGCTTGTTAGGCTTTATGTATTTTCTTTTCTATGACCCACATAGGCACGGTGACCCTACCCTATAAAGTGAAACAACAGAAAAGCAGTAATTAGACTCTTCGCCTAGTTTTATGCTCATTAAAATAAACTTCAAAGGAGAATTCTTTTTATTGGCCATTGTTTTGTTTTCTAATGGTCAATTTCAGCCTTCTAAATTGGAACTTGCAGAAAGGCTGAGATACATTGGAACAATGATCCAAATAATCTTTAATGTTTTGAATTATAAAATGCCGCCAACCAGATTATGTCAACATCATAGCATTAGGGACACTTTGTATAATCCGATGTCTTTTCTTCAAATGGCCGAACTCTCACAAATAATGCAATACTTAGGGGTGACAGTAGTGGAAGTAGCTAGTATGAAATTTCTTGGGCACTTACCCGCATGATTTGGCCCATCTTTCTTTCCTCCATGAGAAAACACTGCTCAGTGAGACAATGTAGTCAAGTCAATAGCAGCCAGAGCAAAAGATTGATATATAATGACAGTTCACCTTCTTGTGCCAACATCTCCATACTAAATAGATTTAGAAATTCTGCCGCAAGTGGTTGAAGAGCTCTTTGGGTGCACCCAAAGAGCTCTTCTCGGGCAATGTATAGCTTAAGTTGAGCTCGCACCAAACAAAAAAGGAATAAGTTTCTAATTTCCGAAATCGTCTTAGCTAAACCTATAGAATTCAAGTTTTTTTTCTTTTTCATTTTCCTTGCAATTTATAATGCATTAAGGGGACAAAGACCAGAAACTCTTCGCTGAATGTGGCTCATAACCGGTACCGGTGCAGTGAGGTATTCCAGTTGAGATTCCCGAACTTTGATGATTATCTCGTCGTATCTAAACCAGTGAGACATCAAAGTTTGACGCATACATTCTTTTCTAGCCGGAGATAGAGGAAAATAGAAAGATATGGACTTTCAATCAAGATTTTCCTTGCAAGCCGATTCCCCAGCTCCTGAATAGGTGCTGCAAATCTTAATGTATAGAACCTGCGACTATATTGAGGAGTAAGGAAAGGGCTCCCATGACAATGAGGTCATTTTTGCATGGGCTTGGACTTGCTTTGATGATGAGTAGGCTTGTTGTGCTTTGGCCCTTCTGTGGGCTTTTATCGAGGAAAGCAGGCTTGATAGGGCCAAGTCTTCATTTGTAGGACTTTGATGGTTCATGTCATTCATGTAGGCTTGGGTCTTTCATTCGGGCCCTATTGGGGCACCCTGTGGGCCAATGCGTATAAGCTTGGGCTTTCTTAACGTGGCTCATTTGACGACTCAGTACATGGATGTCACGAATCTATTGGCATAGAATATGGAATCTTTTCTACGTAAGCTGGTTGTGCAAAGTTTGTTTGTTCATACAGGCAGTGTGATTTTGGGATCTTTTGTTTGCTCCGCAAGGTAGTCAGAGCCAGCCAGTTTTTCATTAAACAGGCATGATAGTCTTCAACTGCACAAAAGTTGTGCGGAGAACTAGTAAGAATTGTGCCTGCCATCCAATTCTTGACGCATGGCGAGATTACTCTACCACTCTATAAATGGAGGCTCGATAAGTGTCTTCACTTCATCAAATTCTTTTCAAAGAAATTGAGTACTAGCACGTATGGCTATGGATACTGCAAACAGGCTTTCTGCAATTGCTGCCGAAATGGGGCAACTGCAAAATGAAATTCAAGAGCACCGTAGAGTGCTAAACTTCCTTTTGAGAAGTGTTAGAACAATGGATCCTGCAAGGAAAGAAGCGCGCATTCGCGCTACCAGAGAGCGCATAGAGGGTTTGGAGGAGAGGCAGCAAGCGCTGCGGGCGGAGCAGGAAGCGCTCATTGTTCATGGAGCACTCGGTCGCCTGGAAGACTAGAAAAATTTAACAAAAAGTAGTTAAGTCACCTTCAGGCTTTCTTATTCCAGGAAAGTATGTAGTTGCAAAAATAAAAATAGTAGTTCTAAAATGTTGGCCCTATTAGTTGTTGTGGGTCACGAGCATCTAACTTGTTTTGAATTTCTCTTTATTTTATATAAGCCCTTTCCTTAAGGTTATTTTTGAATTGTGTCCACTGCAGTACTCTAACTCTCTTATAGTGTACTACATTACATGAAACGTAGTTCATGATTTCCCCTTCGCTCTCTTTAGCATTTTGGTTTAACACCACGCAGGCAGCTGGTACCTTCCCAGCTTCTTCATCAGGTAACCTGCCAATTCAACACATTGTCAGCGGCATTTTGCCTGTAAAAATTCATTAATGAATCAGTATCTCCTTTACTTGAACACGGGTTTCGACTTCCACTAAGAGCCCGGTTAGAGAATTATCGTCCTCGCTTCGCTTACCGCCTTCGTCTTTCGCCAGGGCTTATACTTCATCAATGTCCTTACTGCGTTTCACGCTTTTCAGGACCTCGATCCAAGCCCTCAGTCTCAAAAACTTCAGCATGGATGGATAGATGCCATACGGCCGTTAGCTATTAAGTATTTCGTATATAGCAGGACTGTGACCCTCCTCTCAACCCAATCCCTTACTTGACCCTCAAAACTCACTATCGAGTTGTAACCGAAGTAGATCAAGAGAAGGGACGATGCCCAGACGACAGATTTGACCCAATGTCAAACAGGCCAAAGGCTCAGAATGAGACGAGTCAGGGATCCAGAATGACTTCATTGACTGATCACCGAGCAAGAAAGACGCTTTACGCAGCATTTCAGGTCGGAAAACTCTATAAGCGTGTCATCAAGTTAGGTTAGGCCAACCTCGGAACTAGATGTGGTCACCTTTCTGATCTAACACCACAGGCGATGGCCAGGGATCATCCTCTCAATAGGACAGAAAGAAGGAATCTTCCTAGGAAGAACCTCGACGGTTTCTGGAAGCATCCTTTACTTTGTTGTTCACAGTAGCAGCTTGCCAAGTGGGAGAATGAGGACCGTCGGATCGAGGGCATGAAGGCTATAACATAGAGTTGGAGGCCTTATTTATGGGACATCCAGAAAAGCCATCCCATTCAAGAAGCCCCTACTTATACCCCTGCTCCCTTCTATCCTTGATGGATCAATTGAAGAACTTTACAGATCAAAATGGAATTCCGAACCGCTATAGAAGCGAACGACTTGATCGCGAACTATAGTCTTTGTTTGTTCGACTGACCGATTCGAATCGATTGGGCTTCGTTCCGGGTAGTGTTTAGTCATAAGCCTGTCTCTTTTGGTCTTCACTTGTCTGCTTTCGTTCCACTCCTTTCCAACTCATTTCTCCGGTTCAACAATTTCAACACCGCGCCCCTTCTCCAGGGCGGCAGATGGGTCTAGAGAACCGAACTGTCTCACGATTTCAATCCGGTTAGAAAAACTTCTCCTGAGCAATTCACGTATCACTTGAGTAGTAGTACGAAACCTTAAGAAAAGGCGATCTACTAGTTGAAAAAAGGAGGATCCGTTGAAGAGTTTATGTTGTCTCGGTAGGGAATAGTCCAATCTTTTCCAGCACCGGTGCAATATGAAAGAGTCCTTTAGAATTCCTTAGAATACGAATGAGATCAAAAAGGCTCTGCCGAGGCTCGAGTAGAAGAAGGGGTACTTGAACAGAGGGCCGTCTCAGACCAGTGAAGATCGGAATTGAGCTGCTTAAGATTCCAATTCAAGTAAGGAAGATTGTCATTAGTCTAGGTATTCTAAATATAAAATACCATTAGCGCCCAAGCTAACCATCTCGACTGATCGATCGGAATGAAACCGATTAATATGGAACTGCTAAAGATGGAAAAAACGCAAGGAACGAAGTTGTGAGAAAGTCCCGTGACATCCAAGTTTGATTTTCGAAATGAAAGATTGAGCAGCTGCTGAAGATGGAGCTGCAGAGGGTAGTTCCGGTAAGAGAGAGAAAGTTTGATTGATAAGGGCATTCTGTGAATGGAGGAATTGGCACAAATCTGATCTGAAGTAATGTGTTGCCGCGAATCGGCTGAAAGAGTTTCAATAGGCCAGGAAACCATTTCCGCTAAAGAGTTCTCTATTGCAATGTTTTTTGGCGGGTCGCTTTCTTTTGAAAAGAGAGGTTTCGCCCTTTCCGGCTCTTCTCCTCCATGCTTCAGTTGCCGAGTATGATTTGGTATAGTTTCAAAGTTTTAAGCTGGAGCCTCACGTCACGGAACGAATGTTTTGTTTTCAAATCAGCTTCGAAGAATGGCCGGGAATCGTCTTCCTAAAAAGAAGAGTCTTCGTTTGAAAAAATATAGTTTTCAATTGGCTCGGCTTCCTTAGATAATCAAATCAAGTTTCAAGCCGGTCAGGTCAATCCTTTCAAAGGAAGAAAATAAAGGCCGAAATCAAGATGAATGTCGACCCGGTAAATCACCTAACTTTGTATAGCTGAAAGTTGCCAAATCGGTTGAAAGAATTGAAAGGAATGCTGGAAAATGAGCTTCAAAGCTTGAACTTCCACTTTCAATAGTCAGAAGAAGCGCGGATGGCACCAGTCCTGATTGATTGTTTTGAAGTGAAGGGCTTTTTCCTACTAATGAGTACAGATATGCGGCCTTAGTATTAGAAAAAGAATTAGCAGGGGTACGTGCGAAGTCTTCAATGAATACCGGGGAATTGGCCAAGTATTACTTCACTTCCTCTTAGTTCAAGCTATTCCTTAGCGATTGTTCATCTTCCACTGCCCGAGGCCTCCAGAAAGAAGGCGTTCTTTTGCATTGCACTTCTTCATGTCTTGGTTCACCGTCGTTCTGAATAAGTCAGATAGTTGATCGAGAAAGCACCGCCCAAAGGTGCTCATTGAGCCGGTCCCCGGTGGCTAAAATCATCTCAAAGCTGAAGTGAAGAAAAAAGCCAAGTTATTGCAAAACAGCAGAATGAAATTCTATAAGGTAGGGCTTTAGTTTTTCACTAGAAGCTCAGCCTAGAGTTGATCGACAGGTTAACCCCGAAATGAGTTGATCGACCGGTTACCCCCCGTAATTGACCCTTAAGCTCGGGGGAATCGGAAACTATTGTATCTTTTCTAAAACGGCACTCTCCCTTGATTTCCACAATAATGTTTGCTTATGAAACCTTTTTTCACGTGGTTCTGGTCTCTTTTCGATTGCTTGACAAAGGGGAACAAAAAGAAAAGCCCTATACACCAAAAGTAAAAAGGGGAAATCCCTTGATCAGGTCTTGAATGAGACCGAAGGTAAGGAGACCCCCCCTAATGAAAAAAGGGCTAAAAAAAAAAGGACGAAGTAATTTCGTATATAAAGATATGGGTTTCCGGGTTTAGATCGAAATTACATCCCCGAAAACCAGGGCTGGAGTATTAGACTTGTTCTGCTTCGATAGAGGCACTGTAACCGTAAGTGGAATAACAATCATTCGGCCGATTGCTCTTACTCTTATCCTTCCTTCGCTGACACAGAAGAGAGAGAGCACTCCCCAAGCCAAGGATGAGTGCCAAAGAGAAGATGCGCAAGCTAGTCTATCAGAAGGAGAAAGCGAGGGAGTGAGATTTTAGGTTTCATTAGGGTAGACTGAAGACCAAGCCAATCTCGATTAAAAAAAGAAAACTTATTGCAACTACGAACGTGAACAGATGCTTTCTCATTAGACTATTTTAACCGATTGTTTATGTCGACCCTACGCTACGATTCTTCTTCTCTTATGAAATTTCTAGTTAGATGAACACTGCTCTGCTGCATGACGGAGTGATCTTTCCCTCTTATGAAAGCCGGTATCTCACTTTCGAAAGAGAGTCTCGACGTGGCGGTGTAGACCTAGCTCCATAGCTGGGCTAGTCACTGGCTAGAGGGCGACCGACCTACCGGACCGGAGGCAGCCGAGAATGTTATGTAAAAAGGACCAAGGAGGATCCTATCCTAAAGGAGAAGGAGGAGGAGTAGGAGCTAGCTTTAGGGGCGGAATCGAATGATTACGAGATAAACAATGAGACAAAGGAGAGCACTTAGACAATTCACTTTGAGTACA